GTCTATAGTACCGCAATATCGTTACGTTCTTGTTGGTGGTACAAGGAAACAACGACAGAAAAACAATGCCTACTATTTTATTAAACAGTGACAAAAAATTTGAGTCTGCAAGGTGTTTTTTAAACATACTTTGGACGTAAATAATCGGACAATACGCACGGTACAAGAAAAACGGAATAAGGGAGCAGAGCAGATGTGTTACTTGAACGAGACCAACGGGGAAAACATGGCAAATAGAAAGACGCTTGACTGACCATACACGAAATACTTCCTGAATATTTATAAATGGTAGTCGTTCGTTGGCAGACATTCCTAGAGACTATGTAGCCAACTGTAAAGAAAATAATAAGCCATTTGGAAGCTATGCTATATTCCAACGGGTGTTTACATCCAAATTCAATATTTCGTTTTTCCTACCCAAGAAAGATCTGTGTGAAACTTGTGCGAATTACGAGAACGCTGCTAAAGAAGAAAAGGATAATTTTTTAATTTGGCCGGGAAGATTTTGTCAAAGGAAGAGAAAAAGCGTGACAAAGAAAATAAAAATTTAAAAGGCATTGTTGCAGTATATGACTTCCAAGCAGTTATGCAAATACCCAAAGGACATCTTTCTGTGTTCTTTTACAAATCGAAACTAAACGTATTGAATTTTACTATTTGTGAGTTACAGACAAATAACTGTGAATGCTACGTTTGGGACGAGTCCAACACCCATGGAGGTGTGAACCTGCGTTTTAAAATGTTTACAGAAAAAGTTAACACAGCTGACAGTGAAGTTTTATTTTACTCTAACAACTGCGTAGGCCAGCAGAAAAATAAAAGTGACCCAAAATTTCGCCCATTTCGCCAACCTCACGAATTCGATTCAAAAGTGGTCTAAATAATAGTTTGTGGTGATACTTTAGAGTAGGTAAAATTTTAAGTTGAGCATAGTTTTTGTTTTGGGATATGACAAGTCGAACCTGTTAGTTGGCTTGTTCACGCCAAGATGAATCCAACATTCACTGTGTTTAAAAATTCAAATATGCAAATTGTACCATGTCCTATATAAAATCTTTCGTTCTTTATGAATCCACCATTAGATTTTACCAAACACTTTGTTTTAATGAGGTACTGCGGATTTAAAAAAAAAAAAATCAGGATTTTTGCTGAAAATATTCAATTAATTGGTATTTTTATACTGGAGACTTACGAAATCTCGATAGATACTCTAAATCTTGTATCCGAAGGACTGTGAACTATGATAATTTGGATGCAAGATTAATAATGATGAAAGAAAAAAATTATTGAGTAGGTAATCAAAGTAGGATAAGATTAGATATTCTTTAAGAAAACATCATGTTGTGAGAGACTACGCTTTCATCACTCAGATCATGTAAAATACTACGCAACTATTTTCTTAAAAGAAGTCTCTTCCGCCAGCTCAGCAGCACCCGAATTCGCCAAAAAAAACCTGATTGCTCGCCAAACCAAGTGACTTCTTTAAGTGTTTGCTATATTTTTTAAGTAGATATCCAACAAGATTTGCTATGCTTCCAATATAAAAATATCGTTAAATCAAAGATATTTAGCAAAAATGCAAATTATTTTTTACAAAAATCTTTTATAACTTTCTTGTACTATATTTTTGGTAAAATATAATGAAAGATTCGAAAAGAACGGAAAATTTTACGTTACAAATGTTACTACTTATATTTGTTGAGAATTTTAAGATAACGCAAGAGGTCACGGAGAACTTCGGACTCGCCTTGGCGTGGATGAATCAAATAACGAGTTTAACTTGCCATATCCTAAAAATTGACTGTATGCTCAATTCGAAATTTCGCCTGCATCAACTATCACTATAAGCTATCATTTAGACCACTTTCGAATCAAATTCTTGAGGTCGACAAAACGGGCAGAAAATAGGGTCTTTTTTGGGTCACTCTTTATGTTAGCTTTGTACCTGTACGCTGTCTCGGAATAAAGTCAATTACTTATAAATTCTTGATTAAGGGCCACATTTAAAACGAAGGACTCATACGCTCATCGAAAGACAAGTAAAGCGTCAATTAAGAGATATATGTATACACCTGACGCCTCTACTGCCGCTATTAGATCCGCAAAAAAGCAAGGGACACCTTTTTCTGTAAAGAAACTATGTTTGGAGGATTTTTACGATTTGAAACAACGTTGATTAAAGCTCACAAATGTAAAAATAATTAAAGTTGTGCAAGAATCTTCAGCCTTTGTGTTTTACAAAAATTCTTACAATAATGTTGACTTTAAGGAACCTAATCAATAGGAAAAAAAACATGAAACGATTTAAATATACGTTTGAAGCCTGCATTTACGGTACAACGAGGGTTAGCAGAAAGAAAAAAAAAGTGGTCTTATGTAGGGTTACCAGACGTCCGGATTAATGCAGACATGTTCGGGTTTTTACTACGTCCGGGTAGATCTGGCCAGATTTTTCATAAACGTCCGGATTTTAAAATAGTTGCCTTTATGAACATCAAATAATGCAAAATACAAAATAATAAACTAGTTTTAAAAAATGTAGTTATTTAACCGTTTGAGTGTCAAGAAGCGATTTTGAGCTTCTGTTTCGCTCGAAAAATACCAGAAATAGGCTGCATTTATCTTCTGTGAAAGGAATACTTATAACTACTTATAATTTAAAAAATATGAGCTGTTCAGAGTTTTACGATTTTGTGCTTTTACCAGAAAAGTTAACTCTTAAATAAAATACAAAGCAGCGGAAAGTACCTGTAAAGTGATTAAGTTCTTTTCGTGTGTTGTAACTTGGGTTATTATTTATTGTAGCGTCACCCTCCCAAATCTTCATAAAATTTTGTCTACCCCGCTATTTTCGATGATGCTGAACACGAATCTGAAGTTATTTTTGTGCGGTCGAGAAAAAATGTTTTCAAAATTCTAACCTGGATATTCCACATAACACTATGCAGAACTATGTATATTTTATGTAGCTTTAACAACATCTGTAATAAACAATCAACATTGTTTAAGAAATACATTTTCCCAAATTTGAAGTAAAAAATATGTATTTAATAAATAAAACTATAGTAATTTTATGTGGGATGAACAGCGATCAATGAGAGTGGAGGCACTCAATGTTGTCATCACGAATTACAAATGGCGAATTCAAGGTACAAAATTTTTATTTATTAAAAACATATTTTTTTACTTGAAATTTGCGAAAATGTGTTACGTAAACAATGTTAATCGTTCATAACAGATGTTCTGAAAGCTACATAAAATATACAGAGTTCTGTGTTATGTTATGTGAAATATTCGGGTTAGGATTTTGAAAATTTTTTTTCTCAAAAACTGGGTTAGACCGCACAAAAATAACTTGATTCGTGTTCAGCACCATTCAAAATATTGGGGTAGACAAAATTTTGTGAAGATTTGAGAGGGTGACGCTATAGTAAATAATTGCCGTAACTTTTTTTACTCTGTAAATTTTTAAGTTTAAGTATGAATAAAAAATGTATTTTTTTGCTTGTTTCATTAGTAAAATGAAAATGGTATAATGGTAACCATCATCAATCAGGAGATAATGGGAAAATTGTTACTTTGCTAAAATTATGACGGCCTGATTTTGTATTTTCTTAAAGGCTTGTCCTGGGTGGACAGGCTTTCATCTACTAATCCTAGTCTTATGGATTTGGTTAATAAAAACCACACCCCAAAATACCCCACCAACATTTACAAAGATTTGTAATGCATCGTTTGGTTTTAGATTTAAGGAGTTTATAGTATTTTTATGTTTTTTTAAGAAAAATAAACATATACAGTGTGTTTCTCTTAAAGACTACTACAAGTAAGGAAAGACCCTTAAAAGGAAAGAAATGTATAGCATTTTTGATTTGATCACGCCTCAAAACCCTGAATACAAAGTTTCATTATTATAGCTTTTACGAGGTGTTCACAAAATACGTGCAAACTTCAAAAAATTTCACTCATTGCAGAGTTTTCTTTGTTAACAGTGTAAAATATTTTCCAAGGTATTTTTTCATAATTTTATTAACCGAATGTATATCTATGCAGTTTCATTGATTTATATCGTTGAGGAGAGTTATTAAGAAACAAGAGGAGACAAATTGAACAGTGCATACCAAATGATGGTGGACTAATAGAAAACAGTAATATTTAAGTTTTATTTCGTTGTCTCATTTCTGCTAGAATAAAAAAAATATATCTTTATTGTGAGCACCCTGTATGAGTGAAATCAATGAAACTGCATGGATATACCTTCGGTTAATAAAATTATGAAAAAATACCTTGAAAATATTTCCAGTGTTAATACTCTGCAATGAGTGAAATTTGTCAAAAGTTTGCACCTATTTTGTGAAAAGCTATAAATGAAACTTTGTAGTTAGGGTTTTGAGATGTGATCAAATCGAAAATGCTATCCATTTCTTTCTTAAAATAATGCCTAATATGTTTTTTAATTTTTGGGGGTCATTTCTTAATGATAGTACTTAGGCTGTAGAAATGATCACGTCAAAAAATATATCAAAAAGTGGAGTACTACCATACAACAAAAAAAATTTTAGAAATTGGCCAACGCCAACCGAAATACGGAAGTGTACCGAGTTTAAGTGAAACACACTGTATATTTTCTGAGAAATATTTGTCTTAATGTTTTCTTATTAGTTTTATGAGTAGTTGGTCATAGTTTAGTCAAAAGTTATTTCATATGATAATAATTTCAAACATTTTAAGTTAGAATAATACTTATTCCATATTTTAAAATCAAGGTATACGGCAAGAACGTCACAAGTCTGAACAAATTTTTTATTATTGCTATACCATCTATTTACATCTTTCGACTTTTTTAAATACATTAGTTATTTCTAACAAGTCAGTCCACCTAATTTACAAAATGAATTTTGAGTTATGACATTGTATTTAATGAGTATTAAGTTTTGTTAAATTTTTCGCTTATTATAAAAAAGTTGTGACAAAGGATTAATAGACGTTTAGATCAGTACCTGGACTAGACGACTGACTTGGCGGTACCAAAACTGCAACCCCCTTCGAGATCTGCGACTGCAACTCCCTTCGAAATATGGGACTGCAACAGGAACATCAAATCCAAGGGCTCCAAGGGCCTTAATACTCCAGTGCCACCCTTAGCCTCCAAACTCCAGCAAATGGAGTTTTACCGCCATTTCTTCCATAACCTCGCTAAATGAAAGCTTCAACAAAAGTCCTTTATACACTTATGTAAGTCCCAACGTCACCTAAGGAGAAAAGAGTCATAAAGGGCTACTCCAATAACAACATATAAATGTAACACATGTAGATCTTAAATAACTATTTAAAAAAAGTAATACCTAGACTCGAACAGGAACTCCACGAGAACGCCATAGCGTTTATAACGCCACAAAGTCAGCCTCCATAAAGGATGATGATAACGCACAAAGAAATGCTTACTGGAATGTTATACAAAAAACAATTTCCCGTCTCCATCCAAACTAAACTTTAAAAAACTATATTCACCGATTCCTCGATTTGATTTTCAATTTCATGAGAATGCTACCAACTACCAACTTCTAAATTCATCACACTAGATCAGTACCAACTTACGATTGTTGTAGTACATTTTCTGCATTTATTTATTACATGTTCATATTACGAACATTCATTACAATATGGTAAAATGTTTGTTAACTTACATATAAAACGTATTAGGAGTAGCTGGTGAGTTGATACGCACGGGCAATGTTACCAACCTCTAGAACGCAAATTTCTTCATGACGATCTTTAAAATTCGTCACATTTCGTCGCCCGCTGCAAATTTGAAATTTACTGCATATTGTTTATATAAACGGATTATAAAACAGATAATAAAATGTCCTAAAAAACAAAATGCAGTATTTTTATTAACAAATTTGAAATAAAATCGCTATAATCACTTTATTATAAGAAATAAAATATATAAACCGGAAACAAATAATAACAGTTTGAAATAGAACAAAAAATTAAAGCCACTTTTCCTATAGTTGTATTATATAAAAAGGAAGGATATTTAAGCTTAAAACTAATTAAAAATTGCTTTAGTAAAAACNGAGTGAAATCAATGAAACTGCATGGATATACCTTCGGTTAATAAAATTATGAAAAAATACCTTGAAAATATTTCCAGTGTTAATACTCTGCAATGAGTGAAATTTGTCAAAAGTTTGCACCTATTTTGTGAAAAGCTATAAATGAAACTTTGTAGTTAGCGTTTTGAGATGTGATCAAATCGAAAATGCTATCCATTTCTTTCTTAAAATAATGCCTAATATGTTTTTTAATTTTTGGGGGTCATTTCTTAATGATAGTACTTAGGCTGTAGAAATGATCACGTCAAAAAATATATCAAAAAGTGGAGTACTACCATACAACAAAAAAAATTTTAGAAATTGGCCAACGCCAACCGAAATACGGAAGTGTACCGAGTTTAAGTGAAACACACTGTATATTTTCTGAGAAATATTTGTCTTAATGTTTTCTTATTAGTTTTATGAGTAGTTGGTCATAGTTTAGTCAAAAGTTATTTCATATGATAATAATTTCAAACATTTTAAGTTAGAATAATACTTATTCCATATTTTAAAATCAAGGTATACGGCAAGAACGTCACAAGTCTGAACAAATTTTTTATTATTGCTATACCATCTATTTACATCTTTCGACTTTTTTAAATACATTAGTTATTTCTAACAAGTCAGTCCACCTAATTTACAAAATGAATTTTGAGTTATGACATTGTATTTAATGAGTATTAAGTTTTGTTAAATTTTTCGCTTATTATAAAAAAGTTGTGACAAAGGATTAATAGACGTTTAGATCAGTACCTGGACTAGACGACTGACTTGGCGGTACCAAAACTGCAACCCCCTTCGAGATCTGCGACTGCAACTCCCTTCGAAATATGGGACTGCAACAGGAACATCAAATCCAAGGGCTCCAAGGGCCTTAATACTCCAGTGCCACCCTTAGCCTCCAAACTCCAGCAAATGGAGTTTTACCGCCATTTCTTCCATAACCTCGCTAAATGAAAGCTTCAACAAAAGTCCTTTATACACTTATGTAAGTCCCAACGTCACCTAAGGAGAAAAGAGTCATAAAGGGCTACTCCAATAACAACATATAAATGTAACACATGTAGATCTTAAATAACTATTTAAAAAAAGTAATACCTAGACTCGAACAGGAACTCCACGAGAACGCCATAGCGTTTATAACGCCACAAAGTCAGCCTCCATAAAGGATGATGATAACGCACAAAGAAATGCTTACTGGAATGTTATACAAAAAACAATTTCCCGTCTCCATCCAAACTAAACTTTAAAAAACTATATTCACCGATTCCTCGATTTGATTTTCAATTTCATGAGAATGCTACCAACTACCAACTTCTAAATTCATCACACTAGATCAGTACCAACTTACGATTGTTGTAGTACATTTTCTGCATTTATTTATTACATGTTCATATTACGAACATTCATTACAATATGGTAAAATGTTTGTTAACTTACATATAAAACGTGTTAGGAGTAGCTGGTGAGTTGATATGCACGGGTTCGAAATGTCTAGTTATTTCCGTGACATTGAAATTCTTAGGCAGGTTAAAGACCGGTACACATGAATGCGTTAAGCCGCGTTCACAAGTAACTGTGTTTTAAACGACTTGTTTGTCATTTGCAACTCTACAATATATTATATATAATGTGTCAATATTCCTAGGGGCGATTCTACACGATTCTATTTTTTCGAGAATTGAAAACTTGCTGAATCACAGACCGTTAAAGTTTTTTTTTAAATTTATTTTTTCTAATATAACTTTTTTGCGAGTGTACCGATTTTCTTCAAAGGGTCTAAACTGTTCTTGACCTTAGAATAATGACTAAGTACTATTTTGTTGGAACCTGTTTGTAAATTTGAATACCTAGCACGTAATAATTCGAAAGAATAAAAAATCGTTAAAAAAGACCCTCATGCCTCCGGGAAAAATCACTTTAAACACTTATGTGCCTTAAATAAACAGCCGCTCGTTTGAACTCATTTTTAATATTAAAGCTCGCCTCGTTTTTTTCTATGGATATTCAGGGTGTTAATGATAAGTTTTGTCAAATTTTAATGCCGTATTCTACCGATGAAAATAATCAACTTTTGCCTTATAAAAATTTTTGATAGGACGCTTCCCGACGGAGATACAGGGTGTTAAAAGTTTCAAATATTTATATAATTTTTCCTGTAACTTCGCTGGCAAAAAATATTTAGTGACAAAATTTGGGGGACGACATTTTTTTTAGTAGGGACTATTTTTTCGTGGATAACTTATTCCAAAATACACTCCAGTGGCGTAGTTATTGGGGGAGTAGGGAACCTTTTTTGAAAAAAAAAATCGTACGCCATTGGTTTTTTAAATACTTTTAAATGTTTTTAAAATGTACAATCAATTTGTGGCAATAAAAGTATTCGTAAAATTTACAGGTCTTTAGAAAATTGGGAAATCAAATAAGAAGATTCTTCCCACTAAACACGAAACGTAAATGAAACGTTGCAAATGAGCTGTTTTANTATTATAAATGAAAATTAATGTCCACTAATGTACTTCGAAAGAAACATCGTCACAAGAGTAAATTCTTCGTCAATTCGTCAATAGCAATTTTTCCCTTTAAAAAATCATCACTTTGACGAAAAATCGTCACAGTTGGCAACACTGCGCACGGGTTCGAATTCGAAATGTCTAGTTATTTCCGTGACATTGAAATTCTTAGGCAGGTTAAAGACCGGTACACATGAATGAGTTAAGCCGAGTTCACAAGTAACTGTGTTTTAAACGACTTGTTTGTCATTTGCAATTCTACAATATATTATATATGTGTCAATATTCCTAGGGGCGATTCTACACGATTCTATTTTTTCGAGAATTGAAAACTAGCTGAATCACAGACCGTTAAAGTTTTTTTTAAATTTATTTTTTCTAATATAACTTTTTTGCGAGTGTACCGATTTTCTTCAAAGGGTCTAAACTGTTCTTGACCTTAGAATAATGACTAAGTACTATTTTGTTGGAACCTGTTTGTAAATTTGAATACCTAGCACGTAATAATTCGAAAGAATAAAAAATCGTTAAAAAAGACCCTCATGCCTCCGGGAAAAATCACTTTAAACACTTATGTGCCTCAAATAAACAGCCGCTCGCTTGAACTCATTTTTAATATTAAAGCTCGCCTCGTTTTTTTCTATGGATATTCAGGGTGTTAATGATAAGTTTTGTCAAATTTTAATGCCGTATTCTACCGATGAAAATAATCAACTTTTGCCTTAAAAAAATTTTTGATAGTTCGCTTCCCTACGGAGATGCAAGGTGTTAAAACTTTCAAATATGATTTTTCCTGTAACTTCACTGGCAAAAAATATTTAGTGATAAAATTTGGAGGATGACATTTTTTTAGTAGGGGCTATTTTTTCATGGATAACTTGTTCCAAAATATACTCCAGCGGCGTAGTTATTGGGGAAGTAACGAAACTTTTTTAAAAAAATCGTACGCCACTGATTTTTTAAATAATTTTAAATGTTTTTAATATGTACAATCAATTTGTGGCAATAAAGTATTCTTGTAAAGTATTCGTAAAATTTACTGGTCTTTAAATAATTGGGAAATCAAATAAGAAGATACTTAAGTACCTACGTTGCTATTTATCATTTTGATTGCTAAATGTGTAACTATAAATTCAATAATTAATATTTTTGAGAGATTTCAAAACACTATACAACGCCACTGTTTTGTGTGTTGCAAAAAGTTTGTTATTTTTCATACAATTAAAAACAGATTTTAATAAAAAAAATATGGTATTCAGTTCATTTCAACTGTAAAATGTCAGTACCATATTATTGCCACAAATTGATTTTACATTTTAAAAACATTTAAAATTATTTAAAAAACCAGTGGCGTGCGATTTTTTTCCAAAAAGGTTTTCTAATCCCCCAATAACTACGCCACTGGAGTGTATTTTGGAAAAAGTTATCCATGAGAAAATAGCCCCTACTAAAAAAATGTGATCCCCCAAATTTTATCACTCAATCTTCTATGTCAGTGAAGTTACAGGAAAAATAATATAAATATTTGAAACTTTTAACNATATCCGAGGACGTACTTTTAGGCCCAGTTTTATAATGTAAGTTTAAACTTGAGATTAATCTATAAATTAAACTTGGGTTTAAACGTCGGTTTAAACTGGACATTAGAGAAACGTCTTATAAATAAATTTAAGAAATGCAATGTTGGCACACCTGCAAGGAGTTTAAGGCCATAAATGTAGACGCCGCACGAACTGTAAAAAATTTAAAAACAAAATTCGAAAATTTAAAAAAGAACGCAAAGAAAAAGTTTTCTGTGGAAAAACAGACGGGTGGTGGAACTTCAAATATATCGGTTTTTACACCCACAGATACGGCCATTAAAAATATAGTCACCATTGCCGTAACAGGTTTAGAGAGCAATTTTGATAGCGATATCAATAAAGAAAATATTTCTGAAGAAAATGTTACCTGTGAAATCATAGATGACATTCAGTTATGCCATTCTTATTCAATTCAGGAAGAGATAATATTACCTGGAAGTAATACCTCAGATTGTGTCGAAACTGAAATTCCAATTACTGGTAAGTAA